CCATGCCTATCGTGCAGCTCATCCATCAATCAGCCAGTTGTGTGTCATGTCCAATCTTATTTTGAAAAACCGCAATAGAGCGAGTCCGCGATAAACGAATCGCGAAGCAGCGAGGGACTACTGTGATATTAAAATATTAAAAATGAGTTAGTACATGGTGACACTGTGGGAGTTCTGCTCTGCAGCTCCTGCACCCACAGTCAGACTCTAATCAGCTACACCTGTGGATCAGATGAGCATGAGGAGTGTAAAGGGCGGCAGAAGACATTCAGCCAGCGCTGGAGCATTACCTGCCAACAGCAGTCTTGTTCTAGTCTTCTACTTGTGTTGAAAAACAAACATTAATGATTTGTATTTCTCTCCGTGCCTCCAGTGAGTTACCCTTGATGTCCTGCTGTTCCCTGAATCCTCCTCTGTGCACCTCAAGCTCCTCTGTGTCTCATCAGCTGCCTCCACGACTTCCCACCACTTAAGACCTGCACCTCTTTCACCTGGAACCATTTGGGTCAACACTCCCCACGTCTGACCCCGACCTCCATCGTAAGGAGAATCAGCAATAACATTACCAGCCTTGACTACAAGAGCTCTAACCACCTCTTTGCTCCTCACGGTTCCAGTCTCCTCCCTGTTGTGTTGCATTATTTCTCACTTTCTAAATAAACACTGAATTCAATCAGAGTCTTGGTCTCTGTTCTCATTGGTCCTTGTATCTGGGTATAGCTGCAATCGTTACAGACACATTCACCGCTGCATGATTGTAAAGAAACTGTTAATTTACTTGTTTTAGTTTAATAAATCTACAAATCTTTGGCCATGAATATAAAAGCAAAGCAGTTTTCAGATAATTCATATTAAAGACGTTGATTCTGGCGAATAAACGTGATATATTGTGATGGTGAAATCACGCTGTTGTTCCCGAACTTATCAGATCAACTTGTCAATAATCCCACAGGTTAGCTGCCTGCAGAGCTGCAGCACCGGAGCAGACAGTCCCAGTGGGCGGCGTGCACGGGGAATTATCTTAATTGGGTCAGTGCCTGTAGACATGACTCGATGCAGAACTAAAGTGTTTACTCTGGAGCAAACAAAATCAGAATGCAGATTTTTATATTTCTTTCAAAGTTAGAAGATTTACAACAAACTCTTCTGCTGCTTCAAAGGACGACTGCATTAGAATGGTCTGTTAGAAATCTGGAGTCAATAAAGACACTATTTTAGCTTCTTGCAGAGTTTAAACCTGAACATATTGAGTGTGTTATGGCAGGGAAGTGGTTAACGTCTGCTCCCAAGTGGCCAAAACATTTATCAGTAAGCAAATCATGCAGATTCAGATGAGTCTTGAATTTGCTCTCAGCAGTAGGTGCATCTGCTGCAAAGGCATCTAGGTCAGCTACATTCAGCGCACAACTCAACTTTAATTCAACACATGCTTTGGCACGACCTAGATTCACATATTCTATACAATTCTTTCTTTTTTTATTCATTTACTTGGTTTTTTTAAGACATGTGAATTGCATATTTACATCTGTACAACAACTAGTAAATGGCAGTGGTTACCATCGTATCAAGTCCAAGAGTCAGAAGCATGAGGAAGAAGATGATGGCCCAGAAAGGAGACAGAGGGAGTCTGGTCAGAGCCTCCGGATACACCACAAACGCTATGCCCGGACCTGGAAATTACAAACACACACTTGGATCTGTACTGGTACACGAGGATATATTTACACTTCATTCCCAAGGAGCCAGACTTTCTTTTCAAATGGTCCTGATCAATGATTTTCCAGACCCTCTGGAGGTCTTTGGAAGAGAGGGTGGGGTAGAGTTTGTCTGATTGTTCTCATTTTCTCTCTGGTTTTTGTATCTGATCATAACAGCATGTGCAGTGAAATAAAACAGGAAATTAAAGGACAAAAGAAGTGTCTGGCCTAGAAAACAATCTCAACCACATGAAGAGCCTGAGATCGATTAAAGAAGAAATAAATCTTGCAAAGACCTGAGACAGAACAAGAGAGATGCATCAAGCCTCATTACTTTATTCCAAGTTTTCTGCCAATAATGCTTGGGAATCATCTTGTTGGCACAAAAATCCCATTTGTGTCTGTTGAACTCTATCTTTGCAATTGTTCACGGATTATTTGTTCAGTTTCTTTTTTGGTTATGTGTTGACACAACATTGGTTCATTTTTTAGGTTTAGGAGCTGTTTGTGTCTAAATGATTCATCTGTAGACAGTGGGGAGATGTAACCAAGTACTTGTCCTTCATTACTGTACTTAAGTACATTTTTCATGTATCTGTACTTTACTTAAGTAGAGTTAAATATGGGTACTTTCTACTTTTACTCCACTACATTTTACTTTGAGTAGTTGCACTTTCTATTTCTATATTGCGTTGTGTTACACGTTACATTCACGTTGCAGTTTTTTAATCTGCTTGTTAGTTTGAAAGTGACCAATGGCAAGAGGGGAGTTGGTCCTTTGAATCCCTGCAAGGTGGGCAAGTAACGTTAGCTCAAGAAGAGCTGGACCAATGACGTATATTTTAGTATATACACTTCATTGAGCTGGACGCACCCACAGCACCACTAATACACCCAAAATGGATTCCACCACAGAGTCAGCCGGAAGATACGAGCCACTCATGGCTTTATTGAAATATTATTGAAAGATTATTGAAAGACGGTTCAGTACAGCAGGACAGATTCTCCCAAAAGAGCCAGACTGGACCCAAAAACTTTGAAAACCAACTTCTTCTGAACTTGAACAAGAAATTATTGCTGCAATATTAAAATGTGTCAGTTCATGATGTTAGGAGACAAGAGATGTCTCCAAATGACTCGACACTCGGGTCCAAGTTTTGAAAATGGTGTCAGGAAGTTAAAATATTGTTCACTATTGACCCATTACAAGGTTTAGACAGTATTTTAACTAGAGTTGATGACAAACTGGAGTTGAAATGATCAGAGCCTGTTCCTTTGTTAGGTCTAATGCTCCTTTTGTTCAGACAGACAACTTTTACTTAAATGTGTTTACTACAGTTAAAATGACACATTGGTTTTGTGTTAAATAAAAACTTTCAAAGGTATAATCATCCATCCATCCATTATCTTTACCCGCTTATTCCATTTTGGGTCACGGGGGTCGCTGGTGCCCATGTCCAGCAATCACTGTGCGAGGGGCGGGGTACACCCTGGACGGGTCTCAAGTCCATCACAGGGACACATAGAGACAAACGAGACAAACAACCATTCACTCTCTCACTCACACCTAGGGACAATTTAGAGTTACCAATCAGCCTAACATGCATGTTTATGGTCTGTGGGAGGAAACCGGAGTACACGGAGAAAACCCACGCATGCACGTAGAGAACATGCAAACTCCACCCAGAAAGGCCCCTGGACCGGGATTTGAACCAAGGACCTGCTCGCTGCTCGCTGAGAGGCAGCAGCTCTACCAGTTGCACCTCCGTGCTGCAGGTATAATCATTCCTTTTCTTATTTTGATTAATAACATTTAACTCTGCAGGTCATCCCTGAAATTCTGACATACAGAATCACAAGTCCAAGTGTGAACTGTGTCACAGAGTAAACACAATAAAAACATGTATTATCTGCAGCATCGTTCATTAAAATGACACAACACTATTAATGTATTACAGAAAATATACATATGGTAGGTACACTTAATGATATTGTAGACCACTGCATTAGGTAATACATTCAGCAAGTACTTTTACTTTTAATACTTTAAGTATTTTTAAAAGCAAGTAATTACTTAGTTTTACTTAAGTATAAATGTCAATGTGGTACTTCTACTTTTACTAGAGTACATTTTTGTCTGTTTATTTGTACTTTTACTTAAGTACAGTGTTTGAGTACATTTCTCCACCACTGTCTGTAGGTATAATGAAGTGTCTCATTTAGCAAAATAACTTTTTTTTTTTTGAGAAAATATTTGAGTTTTGTGTTGGAAATAAGTGAAAAAAACTTTAAAGCATCTATAGAAATCCAAAACAATAAATTTTAAAAATTGCAATAAAGTCTGGTTTCTTAGACTCATATTGTGGCGTCAAGACACAGTGCGGTGTGTTGTGTCCACAGCAGCTACAAACAGGAGCGTATTTGCTGCTTCTGCTGGGCTGGTGCTCTTACCCTCATCTGCAACCTGCTCTATGGGCACCTTCAACTCCTGGGCCATGAAACCAATGACAGAGAAGATGACAAAACCAGCAAATATGCTGGTGGCACTGTTTGTACAAGTCACTATAATGGTATCTCTGTAAAGACAAAAAGGTAAAGAGGGTGGTGAGGGGCTTCACAAAGCAAGGATTATCTGTGTTGATAGGAGTGTTGCAATATTTAAAGCATGTAGCAACTCCAACTCAAATCAACGAAGAGAAAAGGTCAAACAGTGCCCTCTGGTGGTGAGAAAATAAAACTGTGAATTAAAGACTAGCCCACAGGGTGGCGAACTGCTGTATTTAAAAACAAATCCTTTTAATTCAGTAAATGAAAACTAGTTTAAAGCACAAATAACACAAATAATCTACTGTAAGAGTTTAAACAAAAATACTAAGTGTCACATTGATTTCAGACAATTCTACCAGACATCCAGATACAGTCTCATGCATCTGTGGTGACAGGTTACATGTGTCTGACAGAAACATGGTTTACCTTTTGAGTGTTTACCTGTAGCAGTTATTGTGAAACTTATTGTAGGAGGAGAGCGTGATGAGGCCTCCCCACGCAGCCGACAGGGAGAAGAAGATCTGGGTGGCTGCGTCTTTCCACACCTGCGGTCGAAGCACAGGTATGGAAACAAAGTGGAAAACAAAAGATGGAAGCTGAAACATGTTGCTGCCTTGTCGCTGTGTGTGGAAAGAGACGAGCATTTCTCATGTACCTTAGCGTCGTTAAGTTTCTCCCATTTAGGAGTGATAAAGTAAAGGATGCCGTCGGCGGCGCCGGGGAGGGTCACTCCTCTGATCAGAAGGATGACCAGCACCACGTAGGGAAACGTGGCTGTGAAGTAAACCACCTGACCAAAGAGGGGACGAGATAAAACAAGATGTGAGAAGGATCAAAGAGTTCCTGAACCGTGTCATGGTGGGCGATAATGTTTTTGTTCATGTCTGTGTGTGTTTGTGAGTGAGTGTTTGTCTGCAGAGTTAGAAAATGTCTGTTTCATGAACAGCGGGTTGTATTTTGTTCAAACTCTCAGGGTGTAATAATTAGAAGGATCTCCACAAAGGACTAACTTTTAAAGTCAGTCAACCTCAGTTCATAAGGCTGGCACAGTGAAGTAACCTTCACAAACAGAAAAATGACAATAATTCAGACAAACGCAGATATTTAGATAAAATCTGGCGTGGCAGAGAGGCACTCACTGCTAGGGTTGACAACTGTCTATTACAAAACAAATGGTTTTTTGCAGATCATGTGGTCCTATTGACTTCATCAGGTCGTGATCTACAGCTTTCACTGGAGCGGTGTGCAGCCGAGAGTGATGCGGCCGGGAGGAGGATCAGTTCCTCTAAATCTGAAGCCATGGTCTTGAGCCGGAAAAGGGTAGCATGCCCTCTCCGGGTCAGGGAGGAGGTCCTGCCCCAAGTGGAGGAGTTTAAGTATCTCTGGGTCTTTTTCATGAATAAGGGAAAAATGGAGCGTGAGATTGAAAGGCAGATAGGTGCAGTGTCTGCAGTGTAGTGGGCGCTGTACCGGTCTGTCGTGGTGAAGAGAGAGATGAGTCAAAAGGCAAAGCTCTCAATTTACCAGTCGATCTACGTTCCCACCCTCATCTATGGTCATGAGCTTTGGGTTGTGACCAAAAGAACAAGATCTCGGATACAAGCAGCCAAAATGAGTTTTCTCCGCAGGGTGTCTGGGCTCTCCCTTAGAGATAGGGTGAGAAGCTCAGTCATCCAGGAGGGACTCAGAGTAGAGCCGCTGCTTCTCCACGTCGAGAGGAGCCAGTTGAGGTGGCTCATGCATCTGGTTAGGATGCCTCCTGGACGCCTCCCTGGTGAGGTGATCCAGACACATCCCACTGGGAGGAGGCCCAGAGGAAGACCCAGGACACGCTGGAGGGACTATGTTTCTCGGCTGGCCTGGGAACGCCTCGGGATTCCCCGGAGGAGCTGGACCAAGTGGCTGGAGAGAGGGAAGTCTGGGCCTCCCTACTTAGGCTGCTACCCCCGATAAGTGGAAGAAAATGGATGGATGGATGGATGGTTTTGTTGTTGTTTTTTTTTTTTCAATAAAATGATATGATCTTTATAAGGAATTCATTGTTTAGGAGCCATTTAAACAGTTTATACATGAAAGAAGGAAACAGGTTTTGTCTATTTAGAATGCTTTTTTTTTTCAGGAGAGAAAAATAAATATACTTTGGTTAACTGAAGCTAGTAGGAGGTAAGTAGTTTAGGGTGCTTTTTGTCTGCTACTTCTTCTACTACTACAGCTTATTTTACTACGACTACTTGTGCTTCTGCTACTCATACTATTACTACTACTACTACTTGTGTTTTTACTACTACTGGTACTACTTCTGCTGTTGCTACTATTAATACTAATACTGTTTATACTACAATGATTACTACTACTACAACTACTACAACTACTACTACTACTACTACTACTACTACTACTGTTACTATTACTATTACTATTACTATTATTACTACTACTACTACAACTACTACTTGTGCTTTTACTACTTCTGGTACTACTTCTGCTGTTGCTACTATTAATACTAATACTGTTTATACTACAATGATTACTACTACTACTACTACTGTTACTATTACTATTACTATTACTATTACTACTACTACTACTACTACTACTACTACTACTTGTGCTTTTACTACTACTGGTACTACTTCTGCTGCTACTACTACTAATAATAATAATAATAATACTAATAATACTTTTACTAAAATGATTACTACTACTACTACTGCTACTACTACCACTGATTCTTCATTTGTATTTTTGATCAGTTCAATAATATTTTCTCTCTCTGAAACAAAACTTCTTGGAGCACAGAATGTGTTTTCTCTTGTTTTCATTAAATCAGGAATAAGAAGCTGCTGACTGGCACTAAATGACTTGTCGGCTGTTGATTATTAATCAAGGTGCGATGAACACATCACAATAAAAATTCATGTTTTGATTATATTTGTATCTTTTTGTATTTTCTGATTTGTTTTATCAACTTTTTTGCTACAAGAATGACCAACATTTACATGTTTTTAATCAGAACCATGGGACCCCCTTCTTAGCTGTATTGTGTTGCTTCGTTATGTCCACTAGAGGGCAGCAGAACACAATAATTTAAACTTGAAATTTTAATTCTTGTTTCTCATCCAGTCCAGAAACATGTAACCACTGCTCAACCACAGGAAGAGCTCAATGAGTAAAAGGTTCAGGCTTTGGTTTCTGACCTTTAAAAAAACTTTCTTGATTTAAAAAAGAAAAGGAGCCAAGTTTAATTTAAAACATCACTAAGGTTCGTTTGCAGAGATTATTTTCTTTAGCAGAGATAATCAAATGTACAGAATAAAGTATATTAAATATAAAGGAGTTAAAACATCCTGAGAGAAAAATTGAGACTTTGTTGTTCACACAAAGTTGAGCTTTGATAACTTCAGAATATATTTTTTAACCTTTGGCTGATTATTAATTGAGTTCTAGTAGTTTTGTTTGTTTGCCCTGAGCTGTAACCCATGTAATGGATCAGAGGGCACAGGTTATTGTTTCGTTACCTTTCCTGACGACTTGATTCCTTTGGCTAAAGAGGCGTAGACGATGAGCCAGGCCAGGAAGAGACAGCCTGCCAGAGGCCAGCGGAGGTCTCCTGGATATTCAATCCCTTTAGAAATGTGCAACACGTTGTACCTGCAGGCGTGAGCCGACACGTTAGTCAGCCTCAACACACACATCAATAAAATATTACTGTGCAGCACCAACAAATTAAAAAGGTCACACTTCAAGTAATTCAATCCCAATTAAATGTTTATTTTTTTCTTTAAGGAAGTCTGCCAGGATTGTGTAATGAAATCTATATTTTCTCACATAAATCAACTCGACTCAATAATCTATATTAATAATCTTTATATAGTGGTTTTTACTTTTATGTTGGATTTGCAAGATGTGCCAAAACAAATGTTTGGTGATATTCTCTGTAATGTATTAATTTATTTGAAGAATAAATATGTTATAAAAGGATTTATTTTATTTGCATAACGTTAAATTTGATTTGGATTTATGTGTTATCTTATGAACTAAGTGAATCTCACTTAAAGATATATTTAAATAATTATTAATTTAAATATACTATCAATGAACACATGAAACTCGTTCTGAAAACTTCTACTTCAAAACAGTGAGCTAAACCTCACAACTATAATGTTTTTCTTCAAGCCTGAACTTAATATCTTTAAACTCTTATTCTGCAGCCAAATATGATTAATTTAACACCCTATACGTAAAAAAAAATGAAGGACACAAACAATCATCTGACTGCATATAAGTGACAATGGACCTGACGTTGCTATCATATTGACACCTTTCAGAAACATCTGTCTGAGACAGAAACCAGTACTCACTTGAAGTACTCCTCACTGGGGCTGACATAGGTCTTGTTGCTGTCCAGAGTCATATTCAGCAGCTTCGTCAGGTTTCCAGCAGCGTTCGCCGACAAACAGAAAGTGGAGTTCTTGATGGAAATGCTGTTTCTGTCCCGCAAGATGCACGAGTCTGTTCCAATCAGAAACCAATACATGTGAACTGGGGGAGACTGGCAGACAGGGGGGCAGAACTTCCTGTTCTCTCTGGTTTCTGCACCCATTAAAGTGAGGGTGAACACATGTGATTTGCATGGGAGACAGGAGGTTTCTGCAACAAGGAGGCAGCTCTGCGAAGGCTTAAAGGCAGATTTTTTTTATACTAAGGACTTTTCTGCATCACGTTTTGGATTTTTTATTTTAAAAAAGAAGAAGAAAACCTTTTGGAAAATATATGCATTTTATTTCATTTTTGAATTTTATATATTTAATAATGCATTTAGTTTAAAAAGAAAACATGAAGTTCTTTGCAGGCACTATTGTGTGTTCAAGACAAAAAAATATATATAACAAACAAAAAATAATTGCATCCAGTCACTGACAGAGTAATGAAATGAGGAGGGCGAAATTTGATTCTTGTTGCAGAAAAACTAAAATATCACCTTAAAACCAAAGTGTATAATAAGAAAAATTATACTTATCTTGTTGAGGAAAAGACATGGTTTTTTTTTTCAAGACAAGTGCACAAGAAAATGCGTATCTTTTAATTTGTTTTTATTTAATTAATTCATGTATTTGTCATAAAACGTGTTGGATGTGCCTGCAGTTCCTGCTGCAGCCAGCAGGGGTCGGTGTGGCGCTCACTGCAGCACTGCAGCACTTCGCTCCGTACAGTAAATTTGTCAAGCAAGCACATTTTGTGCTGAATTTACAGAACGGCTGGTGACAAATATCAACCAAAACGAAAGCAATTCAAATGTTTATTCGACGCGCAGTAACGTGGGACGATTCGATTTCTGCCACTTTACTTTTTTATTTTATTTTAAATAATAAAAATTTTCTGCACTTTTGACAATTAAGAAAAAAAAAACACATCACAGGCTGATTCTACTGCAGATTTGAAGGATTAAACACAGTTTTCAGGCCTATTATCTAACGAAAAATAAATAAAACACTCATATTAGGGTGCATTATTTAAATGCGTGTAATGTGAGGCCCCTCGTGCATCCGCGGCCTCTTCATCAGACAAACGAGCTGCTCTGCAGAGATCAGGTCAGGATTCATTACACTGCAGGACACCTCAGCTGAGGGAGTCGTGACGCATTGCGCATTGAGGGGAGTGGGGGGCTTGTGGTGTATAGTGCAGGTGTGAAGGTGTGTGTGTGTCTTACCTAAGAGAAGCATGTCTTTGTCCTTACATTCCAGCGTGTTCCACTCATTCCTACAGTTAGCCCATGGCAGTGAGCCCTTCAACGAAGCGAACAGGTAGTACAGTGTCCAGCACATTATAATGTTATAGTATATGGCTATCAAGACAGATATTATCAACATGGCAATCCCGCAACCTAAAATAAATAAATGAGACGAAATATATAAATTACTCTTTAAGAGAATTAAATAAAAAAGTGGTGATGATGAGATATTTTTATATTTATTTGTGATGTTCAGGTTGGGTTGTGTTGTACCTTGCAGAGCTGGGATGCACTTCCAGACAGACACGGGGCCCTGGCTGGCAAACTGGCCCAGAGACACCTCCAGCAAGAAGATGGGGATCCCGGCGATGCCCAGCATGGTCAGATAGGGGATGAGAAAAGCACCTGGGGGGGGAGGAGATCACACAGGGGGGCTACAGAGGACTGCAGGAAACAGTAGTGACTCAAATTAGAAATGATGAGAAGCATGCTCTCTTTATGTGCCTTTAATGATTAATACAAGTTATAACATTAGATTCTGTTGCATGGGATCAATTTTATTTGTCATTAATTTATTGGTTTTAGGTTTTATTTTGCTTTTATTAAAAAAAAAAAAAATTAAAAAAAGTCCCCTATGAGCCATTATATATTTTTAAAATGTTAAAAGGAACACTTTTCTGTACAGAAGTGTTGCACACATAAATAACAACATTTAAAAAGACATTAAAATAATTCCAACTCGGATTTCTGCTCAGTTTTGAGTAAAAGAAAAGACACTTTTTATGTTTGATTCCAGATAAATCAGACTTCTTACCTCCACCGTTCTGGAAGGCGAGATAAGGGAACCTCCACACGTTCCCCAGTCCCACAGCATAGCCCACCATGGACAAAATAAAATCCAGCTTGTTGGACCAGTTTCCTCTGGCCTTATTCTCATCTCCTCCGTCGTCATCATCATCCTCATCCGCCTGAGAGGAGAAACATATAATTATTAATGATCAAAAACTCTCCATTTAAATCAGCTCAAATCAACCAACCTGGCAACTCATCGACAAGAAGCAAACTACGTCATTAAAAGGCTTTTATTGTGAAACATTTGCTTTTCTATCCAAGTGAACAATTTTTATGTTTGTTTTTGTGGATTAAGGAAAAAAAAAATAGAGGTACCAAAAACTGTACACAGATTAAAATATATATATATATATTTTTTTTTTCGTTCAATAAAAATAGCAGCTTTAATATTTTCCTGACAATCAGCAGATTTTGTGAATCAGCTCCATCCTCTCGTGCACGAGCATGCCACCAAACGTGAACATTCTGGACCAATGTTCATTAATGACAACGAGAAGATTTATTTTCATCAGGATTTAGAAGATAAAAGCGCAGCGCCTGCGCGTGTCTGTGAGAGGGGGAGTCCTCGCGGGGATCCGGCACGAGCCGTGTCTGGCGGGAAACACCTGGGCTGTACCAAGTGTGTCTGCTGGGAGCAGGGAGCACCGGAAACTACCGCGAGATCACCGCTCAGGTCCGCTAACGCTAATTAGAACTGCGTGGGAGCGAATCATCCAAAGCGCGTCCGCGTCCACGAGCCTGCTCAGCCCCACTGACACTCAGGAGTCACAGCTGAGGTCTGAGTGGGGGACTGCTGTCTTCAGCTGGACTTAAAGTTTGACACCAGGCAGGATGGAGGGGGACCAGGGAGTGACAGAAAACACGCACCACAGCCCAAAGAGCATGGCAACCATCCACAATGAGCTCCTGTTTGACATCACAGAATAAAACAACCAAACCAGTACTCCCAGCAGTCCTTAAATAAATCATAACCAGCATGACGAAATTATCCTATTTCAATTAAATGTATTTATATGGCTCCAAATCACTAAAGAAGCATCTGAGACCAAAAGCACTTATTATTATTATTATTATTATTATTATTATTATTATTATTATTATT